ACTCACTTCCACCAGTTAATAGTATTTCTTCTATTTGACTGTATCCTCCTTGCTTAGCTATCTCTACTGCACTCTTTCCTCTCTCATCTTTACTGTTAGGATCAGCTCCTAACTGCAGTAGCATTGATACTTCAAAACTATCACCAGCTTTAACTGATTCATGGAGCGAAACATCAAAATTGTTATCATCTTTTTTTCTGATAGGAATTGCTTTCTTGTCAACAGCAACTTCCAATATTCCTAATCTACTCATTGAGTTTGTTTTGTTATTGATAGCATCAATAAGAGACTGTGATTGTGAGGTTGGTATTAACAGTGTAATGACAACTGAACCATAATCAAAGCTAATGTGACTGAAGAGATCTGACGTTACTCCAAAGTAATGCTTGAGGACTGTCTTGAGTTTACTTATTGTCATTTCTTCCCATCTGTCATTCAGCTTAATAACGACTGGTTTTGTTTGATTGCTAGTGGTTGGTGAGGCTGCTGCTGGTAATGATAACAATTTCTTTTTGATTGTTGATCGTATGTGCTTCAATTGTGATGATTCTGAGAATTTATCAACACTATCAATGTATTGAGTTAGTTCAGTTTGTGCATTTGAAAGGTATTTTTTTGCTAAGTGTTGAAGCAGACCACCACAGCTGAAGAAGTCATAATGAGGCTGAAGAGAATCAAATAATTCATCAACGTCATCATATTTCAAACTGGATACTTTAATGCTTAAATAAGTAGCTGCACTCCTAGCTACAGCTTTAAGATTCACTTTTCCCTGTTTCACCAGCTCTTCAAACTCATCTCTTATATCAGAATTAAGAGATGCAAAACGAGAATGAAGACTTTTAATATTGGCAGCAACTTCATCCTTTGAACTGAGCTCAATGACAGTAGGAGTAGATGATTGTGATCCAGTGATTGTTGGTTGTGGTGTGTGAGATTGTGCAGTGACACCCACTGGTAGAAGTGGTCCTTTATTGACTGATGGTTGCTGCTCTAGATTAGGATCAACATGACCACCTTTCATTTCTATACAATAGATTGAAAGTTAGATAATAAATAGATGGGTGTATGTACATCTTACTTAAATTTTCCATTAGTTTAGATGCCATGTTCTTTAGTCCTACTTTCTGTAGTGACGTAATGAGAGAAGAGAACACACTGTTAGGATTAGGATGACACTCAAGTGTTGCTAGTACTGAAGAGAATATGTTATTACCTCTATCATAAGGACTGAGTCCTGCAGTACTTTCAACAGTAACATGTGCTGCTTTAGGAATGAGATCAGATGAAAAGAGATGATTATTTAATTGTAAAATAACTGGAGCATTTCCAGCCAACAGATCAACAAGATCAGCTAACATCTCTTTCATTGTAATGTATTCACGTGACATTGATCCTTCCATTGGTTTGAATGATGATGGATTTTTAGTTAATGATGGCCGGTGTGGTTTAGGTGCTGTTGGAGGAGGTTGTGCAGTTCGACGTGGTTTAGGTGCTATTTGTGGAGGTTGTGTAGGTAGTGATGATCGACGTGGTTTTTCTGCTGATGACAATGGTTGAAATTGTCCACTTTGTGATAATGATCTTGGTTTAGGTGCTACTGGGGGAGGAGACTTTAGTGTCTTTTTTTGAGATAAACCTAGTAATAGTAATTGCTATTAACACTGAATTATTGCTAGAATTTTTACACTGATTACGTTAGCTATTATTAATAAATTTTTGTACATTCATACCTTTTATTTTTCCAATAGCTACTCTCATTTCATGTAGCAGTGTTGGATGTTCTTCAAATGCTTTTATAAGAAGAGACATTCCTTCATGATCACTAACAGCACTTCTAATTTTTCCTATAGTATCAGCATCAAGCAGTGGTAGAGACTCCTCCAGTTGTCCTTTGATCAATAACTCATGAAACTCTATCAATTCAGATACTTTTGGTCTATCATCTGGTATATCCATTAATGCAATAGGAGAGAGTGGAGGACCTCCTATCAATGGCTTGTTTGTACCTGTAGCAGGAGAGAAATAAAATAACTGTATCTCATAGTTAGTATATACCAATCAATTATGGCTTACTATAAATTTTACACATATTTTAACAAATTAAATATTTTAGATTACAAATAACACTCCTCCACCAATCTCTGAAAATAATTTTTGTACATCTTGAGTCCAGTAATGTAACACTCACCAGTAGCAGTACTGTGTACATCATTGGTTCCTTTGATATCATTACCACTGATCATAGCATTACATTCTATAGAATACACACACACACAGTCAATACTAATACAATCAGTGATATTAACTTACTCTCTTGATCTAACTTGTCAGCTGCAGCATTCTCATTCATAGATTTAAGAGCATCTGACAGTGAGTCAAAGGTAGCTCCTCCTTTACTGTCAACATTATCAGCTCTGGACAACCACTTGGAGAGACACTCTGTCAAGCATCGAGATACATCACCAGGATGATTCCTTTCAATGGCGTCCAGTGTGTTCTTGTGTAGTCCTAGTGTCAGTCCTAGTTCCTTCCATCTCCTCTGAGGGAAACCACATCTCTTCAACAGATTAAGTACATCAATAAGTTGCTCTAAAATCATATTCAATGATACATAGATAGTTAATGAACATTACCAATAGTCAAAGGAGAAGAGAAGAGACTCAGAGAAGAGGAACAAGAACTGGTTTTAGTCGCCATTGATAAAAGAACAAGCCTCGGAACAAGCACTAACCGGATGCAAGCTTTGCCAAGGAATGCAAAGGGTGGGGCTCATTATTCAACATGATGACATTTTAGGTAAATATTATTATACTTCGTTTATTTATTTATTTATCTATTTAGCAGATGGACAGATTGTGATGGTGGATTATTATCAGTTAGTAGTATATTTATACTTTATTGTTCTCATCTCTCTCCTCCTATCCTTTCTTTCATTTTCTCTCTTGTAGGAGCTTGTATAGCTTTAAAAGACTCTCACTCAGACTCTCATGTATTTAAGGCCACTCCAATTAAATTAATAGTTTCCCGTTACTGACGCGGGCGGGCGCATTTTTCATTATTAGGTCCAATTTTTCATTATTATAATTATTTTTATCAAATTTTTAAAATTAAAAAACCATTTTTGAATTTTATTACCTAATGAAAAATTAACAAAAAAGAGAAGGAATTAGAATTGAAGCTACAAAAAACAAAGATCGCTCAGTACTATTATGCTGTAAGAAAAAGAACTATACTACAGAGCTACATCTACTATAGTGAACAAAATTTAAATGTATTATTATCATTGTATGAGTGTAGATATCATTTCTTTGTCACAGGAGGTTTCTCCTTGCACAGACTACACTGTGGATACTTCTTATCATCTGTATAGGGTTCCT